CTCTCTCTCTCTCTCTCTCTCTCTCTCTCTCTCTCTCTCTCTCTCTCTCTCTCTCTTTCCCTCCCTCTCTATCTATCTATCTATCTATCTATCTCCCTTCTCATCTCGCTGTCACTCTTTTTCTGTGCTTTTGTCTTGTCATTATAGTAGGACAGAATCACGATAAGGCCAAGGGCACATCGGAATTGTGAATCACACGACGGAAAGAGAGAAAACCGGCCTCATATCGGTGTTACCTTCAGTCTCAGCTCTGATAAAGGAGAGCGTAAAAGGTGTCAAATGAAAGCCGATAAGAAGGGACCCGATAGTTCCCGAACTGACAGGCTCAAATAAAATAACGATAAGAGGAATAACAGCTCAGAAAAAACTGTCGTGATTATCGTGAAGTGTCGAGTGAGATAATCGATGGTGTGAAGATTTTACGATTGTTTCAATTAAGGTAAAAATACCCGGATATGTATCTCATCTTGAACACTCTTTTTGTTTTGGTCTTTACGTACAAATATTTAAACTTTCAACATAAAATACATGTACAGGTATTGAGCAAATATATTCTATGCTAAAAGTTTAAATATTCGTATTTAAAGACCAAAACAATAGGAATGTTCGGGATTAGATACGGGAATTGGTACCTTAACCTTATATTTATGAAACCGATATATCGAATTAAATGTTGAATTTACATCAATAATAACAGTGTTTTGTGTTATATTGATGCAGCAACAAATTCACTAAAAGTGGAACTGATTTTTATATTACATTTTGCATGACGTATTATTTCGAGCAGATTTTCATCAATCTTTTCGTGTTTCGTATTTATCTTTCATTTTATATGATAAATATTAGTAACATATTGAATTTTTTCAATTTGTTCGATGCAAGGAGAATAAAAAGCAAATGAGAGTCAAAAATCGTCGGTGTAATAGCGAGAATGTTAATGCGAATGATCCAAATTTTTTACAAAAATTAACAAAAATTACAAAAAATCCGCGAACGTTTCGGACTCATTCCAAGCCATCGATCATTCGCATTAACGAATTTTCGCTATTATACCAGCGATTTTTGCCTCTCATTTGCCTTTTATTCTCCTTGCATCGAACGATTGTATATTAACAGGGTTTTTACATACATGTATAATTTGATTTTTTTCTCTCAATGTACGGTGTTGTCCTACAATAACACTAGTACGAGTCGGGCGCGATCATCCTGTTTGTTATTGTTTTTTTTTTCTTTTGCGTTACAGGTTCACTAAGCCCCAGACATTCGCGGATTGTATCGGGAACGAGCTACCACTTGGTTGGGAGGAGGCTTACGATAAACACGTGGGCGCCTACTACATCAATCATGTCAATCGTAAGTGTTCACGCTGCTTCTGCTATCTGCTTGGAAAAGTGCAATTGCGATTTGAGAACGCGGTAGACTTGACTTGTGCGATACGAGAAATCGTGCTATTCGAGATTCCGTGTCGCATGTCTGTGTCGTAATACGCGCGTACGTGCCTTCGCGTAATTTCTTTCTCACTCGCTCGATCGTCGACGAAACGACTTGTGTTGACGAGTAGCGTCGACCAGTGCTGACGACAAATATCGGTCAATTTAAGAGTACTTACGCAAAAGATCAACCGGTAACGCGAGAAATTGATTTGTAGTTCTCTCTTTACACGTTGATACATAAATATTGTTGTAAATATTGTAAATGCACAGAGTATCCTAGACCTCGCGACCTTAATTTTATTTAAAGACTCTCTGAGCAATTTTGAGATAATTGTTCTATACTGCAAATGTCGAGGGTGGTCCTTATTTATGGCGACTTTCCAATTTTTAACATAATATTTTTTTACATGTATACCATTTTTCTTTCCTAAAAGAGGATTTTCTATATGTTAAATAAATAAATAAATAATATATTTTAGTATATTTAAGGCCCGAGGATGGTTCTTATTTATGGCGACTTTCCAATTTTCAACATAATATTTTTTTTCCATGCATACTATTTTTCTTTCCTAAAAAAGGATTTTCTATCTGTTAAATAAATAAATAAATATTTTAGTATATTTAAGGCTCGAGGGTGGTTCTTATTTATGGCGACTTTCCAATTTTCAACATAATATTTTTTTACATGTATACCATTTTTCTTTTCTAAAAAAGGATTTTCTATCTGTTAAATAAATAAATAAATATTTTAGTATATTTAAGGCCCGAGAGTGGTTCTTATTTATGGCGATTTTCCAATTTTCAACATAATATTTTTTTTCCATGTATACCATTTTTCTTTCCTAAAAAAGGATTTTCTATCTGTTAAATAAATAAATAAATATTTTAGTATATTTAAGGCCCGAGGATGGTTCTTATTTATGGCGACTTTCCAATTTTCAATATATTTTTTTCCATGTATACCATTTTTCTTTCCTAAAAAAGGATTTTCTATCTGTTAAATAAATAAATAAATAATATATTTTAGTATATTTAAGGTCTGAACTGTTAAAGTAAAGTCTACTTGATCGGAGAAAATAATTTCGTTGTCCATTTGGTCGTTCAATATTTCGTTTGCAAAAAGCACTGCTCCTTCGATTGTACCTCGGAAACTGTTGATACGTCGACGTTTTCACTGAGAATGAATGAACTCTAAATTGCTCAGAGAATCTCCCGGTAAAATTAAAGTCGCGAAGTCTGGGACAGTCTGTGTGCCACAAATTGGCACACGTCACATGTGTATTGTCTTTCACAGAGATGTACATATAGACTGCGTTCGGAGAGACGCTATTTAGCGCTATGAGTCTTCTGTCCTTGTTCAACTGTCAGGAACAAACAAGGACAGAGCGCACTCATAGCGCTAAATAGCGTCTCCCCGAACGCAGCCAATAAATCATGCTTGATGCGTGATTTGTCGAAAGTCCATTGAAATTTGTTTCGCGCGGTAAAACTGAAGTTAGCATTAACTCGTGCGGAAGGGGTTAATAACGTCGCGCCGTTGGATTATTATTCGCAGAAACGACGCAACTGGAAGACCCAAGGCAGGAATGGCGAGCCATTCAGGAGGCCATGCTTCGAGAGTACCTGCAGACCGCACAGGACGTACTGGAGGTAAGTCCAACTGTCACTGAAACCGACGAAATTTCTCGTGTCTCGAGCGAGGGGCAACGTTTCGCTCGGATGTGTCGCTCGTGTAAGAGCGAAATTGCTCGTTAATCGCGCCGCCGTGTCGATGAACTTCGCCTCACCGAGATTAAAACAGACGGATAGGGGGAACCAGCGGAATTTCAACGAGGGTCGACGAGGGCGGCAGGAAGTCGGTCCGTGAGAAATCATGTTACTTCCGGTCATTCGGCGTACTCTCGTGTACGAGCACGACGGCGTAGATTAACACGCGATTAACCGCGTTCCCCCTGCATTTATCCCGGTGGGATGCGCGTTGTATGCACACACGTACGCACGTGTGGGCGCCCGCGTGCGCGCACAAACACAAACGCAAAGGTCGTGCCATTTGGGAGGTGCGGAATTTGCGCGCACACCACGTCGCAAATAGGCCGCTCCGCTATCGTCAGAAATACTTACGGGAATGACAGCGATGCAATGAAAGGACCGATAACGTTTGCTGTCCTGCGTACTCGTAAAATGTCACCTTGTACGAGAGGTGTGACCAAGAGACATTTTGACTGCGTTATCCTTCATAACCCCGAAAGAGAGAGAGAGAGAGAGAGAGAGAGAGAGAGAGAGAGAGAGAGAGA